ATGCGCGCGCGCGCGCGCGCGCGCGCATACACACACGAGACACGAATATTAATATTATTTGTTCGCAGCAATACTATACAAGCCCGGAATGTGTTTAATCCGCGTCGTGTTACAGGGAAAGAGAAAAATACGATGGAAAAAAGCGCTTTCTGCCGCAGCGCAGTGCCGTGTCTGAAAAATACAAAATGGAGAACGAACTTTTCAAACGAACTTTAACAAAAGCATTAACTTTGCATTACGAAACAATACCCACCAATCTCGTCTATACAAAAATTTTAATTAAAAATCTCATCGCGCGTGTGGGTCAAATAATTTTGCCATCGCGTATATACGTGATACCGGGGGTGTAATGTAGCGCCGATGTAAAATGAGGCCCACGTGCGAAAGTAATTACGCAAAAATGTCGGGTCTTTCTGCTTAAAAGGGTGTAAAGCGAGGTTTCGCGTTCCTTTACCTTTATTACCTCGAAATTTGAATGGTCTTCAAGTTTTTCTCGGCCGACGTGTCGTCGCAGACAGGAAGAAGGCTACGAACGAGGATAAACGATCGGCGCGCAGATATGTATGACCGTTGGGAGGGGGGGGGGAGGGAGAAAAAAATCGAATCGCCCGATAGAAACAGTCCTGAGGCTAAAAGCTGTCCTCTCTGGTTCTCGACAGAAATCGAGGAACCGCTCGCGGGAGTTCGACCTTTCGATCGATACGTTACTAGAGAACGGGACTTGGGAGACATTTAGCCCCGACACCCTGTCAGGAGATCGTATCTTCAGGGTAAGGACACCTTGGCACGTAAAATAAGGCGCCTGGCGTGGCGCGCGAGCATACACTAGCTCTTATGTATTATATTATATTTGATTATGCGGGAAACTTATTTCATTTCCGGATGATCGGATTATTTCATTTTTGCGCGGGCCGTTTGCGTTGATTCACGAGCGCTTTTATGCCGACTGTACTGTTTTTAATCCATGTTTATGGTTACTATTTTTTTTTCCTCTCATGCTACCGCTATGCCCGTCGATAGGACGGCCACGTGTACACGCACTTAATCGATCTCACCTTGATTGGTCGCGTATAATCGAATTATTCTCTAACTAACTGCAAAGGCAAAGTTGGTAATTATAAGATGGACATTTATTATTATATAATAGCACTTTATTCGGTAATCAAGTTTCCGAAGTGCGCGACCATTCAAGGGTTAATTGAATGTCTTGTCCTATCTTGCGCACAGTATTTATGTATTATGTATATATCTATATATATATATATATATATATATATATATATATATATATATATT